TGGTTGGATAGGAACAAATTTGATAAATATTGATAACTCTCACATAAAATACTAGAAGGGAAAAATCCTTTAGATGATGAACTATTGATTCTAAGCCATCTCTGGCAATGCATCAACAATTCAAAATGTTTTTCTTGCGTATTCTTGATAAACCAGTGTTTATATATAGATATAGTAAGATATGTTTAGGAAGTAAGAAGTTCCCTTGACATCGCTTGAGAAGAAAATGTTCTTAATTTACCATTATACATTGCTAACATCATAAAATAGAATAATTTAGATTCTTGAGTAATTGGTTGAGTTGATAACATAGCTAACATAGTGATAAATCCCGCTAATAAAATGAGTCTTATGGAGAGTCCATCTATTCCGAATCTCAAGTAAAAGTCAAAAAAATGGATCCATTTATAATTTTCTGTCAATTGGATTAATGGATAATCCAATTCGAAATGATAACAAAATGAATAATAATACTTTGACACGATTTTTTATTTAGATACTCAAATGACACGCTATGATTTCCACTAATATTACAAATTACTGACATGACATGGTACCGTGTCAAATGAATAGATTTGACACGTTGGCATGTCAAGGTAATGATACTCTAACAAAATACATAGCTTATTAGAAGAAAATTTATGAAACATGTACAATAAATATACTGAGATTTATATTTATTGGAATAATAGTCTTCCATTAGATTAGAATTGGATTATCAAGGAACTAAATTGAATTGATATTTTTATTTTTTAATTAATTAAAAATAAATGTTTTAAAAAACTAATTATAAACTAGTTAATTAATTATATTAGTAAATAAATATATAAAATAATTTTTAAAAGTAGAAATATTTTAAATAAATGTTTAAAAATAAATATAAATAAATAAATACATAAAATATTTATGAAAAGTATATGTAAATAGTTATAAATATTTTAAAAAATTATCTATAAATAATTTTTTAGATAAATAGATATAAAAATTAGATAAATAAATATTTAGAAAGATGTGTATTTTAAAGAAATTTAAATTAGCAAAAGTTTTAAAGGAAAATTTTGTGAAAGAAAATGAATTTTTGTAAGAAAGTAATGAAATATATGTTATACAATTCAATTTATTTAGTACTGAAAAATATACTACTTTTTTAAAAATATATAGTATATGAATTTAGAGAAATAAAAATGTGAATAAATAAATATATTAAAATATTTTAACGAAATATAAACTGTATTTTAAGGTACACATATTTTAAAATACATTTTGAGAATTCTTTTATGAACAAATGATTTCATTTGGAATATTATTACTAAGTGCAAAAATATTTTTTATAATGACTATTTATACGGATTATAATTCACTAAGTATAACGGTAAGATAATATCTTTTATACCGATTATAATTATAATAGGTATAAAATGTGAGCATGATGATATTTTTGTAATAAAAAAGAAAACTTGTTATACTAGTTACAATTATAATTAGTATAGAAAGTGGACGTAGTGATATTTTTGTAATAAATAGGTTTAATAATTCGTCATGTCCTTATTTGGGGCAAGAATCTCAAATTGGTCATTTTCTTTTTCGGCATCTTAATTGGGTCCTTATTTTGTGAAAATTGCAACAATTACACCCCTACCGTTAAATTGGACCCAACGTCGTTAATTTTCCATTGACGTGACATGTGATGTATATTTTCAAATGACGTGGACTTCATTATTTGGTTTACATGATTCGGACGTGTCTATTTTATTTTATTTTTAAAAAAACAAACTGGAAAGAATAAATTAAACATCAGGAATGCTTCTTGTAACCACCTAGAACCAGAGGTGTAATTGTTGCAATTTTCACAAAATAAGGACTCAATTGAGACACTGGAAAAGAAAACGACCAATTTGAGATTCCCACTCCAAATAGGGACCTCACGAATGATTAAACCTAATTATAATCGTTATAAAACGTTGTCGCGATGTCATTTTTTTAATAAACAAGAAAAAAATTCTATATTGGTTTTAATTATAACTGGTATAGAAAATGATTTCCATAGTGATTTTCTACTTGCAGTCCAAAATAGCCAAGGCCCGCAAATGAATCGAGACACTAGAAACTAGATATGCCACGTTTGACCATCATTTGCCCTTGTCGTCACCGAAACTATTTGAATTTGAAACCTTTATGGTCTGATTTTTTCTTTTTTCGGTGACGCATGCGGTGGTGCTCATGGTTGCTCGTGGTTCCAGATCTACAATGAAGAGAGACACGATTTGCAGCTACATGTGGTTTTGCATCTTAGAAGTCCGATCTGCATTGCGATGGATATGCGATTTGGAGTCGCCATGGTTTGTGCAATCTGCAAAAGGGATGCTCATGTTTATTAGCGCATGATGGAAGTTCAACAATAGTGTTTCGTAGTGGCAGATTTATAATTTCCTTCTCCGACGAGGTAATTAGAAGGTCCAAAGATCTACGTTATGGTGGTGGTTGCCAACAGTGGTGTATGACCTTGTTGCCAACAATGATGTATGACCTTGTTGCCAACTTTAAGTTGTGAATTGTTCATCAAATCAGTAAAGTGGAATGACATGTTGTCAATAGCGGCATAAATGATTAGTACGATGAGGAATCAGTGATGAAGATCAGGATGTTGCAACTAAGCATGAAGAATTGGTGAATGAGAACGCCGTGAGGAAGGAGGAGATCAAGAAGCTGGTGACAAATCTCGACAGTTTACAAAGCAACAACTAGTGAATAAAGAGAAGATTGAGAAGATGCAGTGAGAGGTTATGGAATCATGAAAAGCAGCAAATGTGGCTGAGGTTATTGCAACGAGGGTAGTGGATCTACAACCGGATGTGATAGGGCTACAACACAATATGATATCAAAGATCAACCATTTCATCATGCAACACACAAAGATAGTATGGATCAAGCTTGAGGAGCAATGAGTGAGGAAATCGAAGGCGATATGTTGATGTCCAAGTGTTGATCTAATTTCTAATAAGTGCATTGGATTCAGTTATAGCACAATAGGGTCGTATGCACAAAGATTTAATTGGTTAAAGTAGAGGAAATTTGAAATGGAATAGTGGTTGGGTCTAACATATTCAAAATAGAAAGTGTTTAATGATTAATGTAAATGATGCTGATAAAAGTGTTGGGATTGAAATTTGTTTTAATCTTCTTCTACTCTAATGGTATTGATTCGTTATATGACAAGGTCATTACTTAGTGTTCTTGGAAGTGCTAAGGTACTAAATAAATTTCTTGACTTTAGAATCTAAGGTTATCAGACTCAGTGCGATTGTTCAGTCCCTAGTTGAGTGACTACTTGCATTGAGAACATGAGTCTATATTCAACTAAAGCAGTTAGATATATTACTAGCATCTGACAACATTAGTTGATCTGATTAATTTTAACTTAAACTAGATTTCCAACTCAATTCAAGCTAATGAAATAAGATCAAGTCATCAAGCTAGTAAATGCAAATCAAATCACTGAACTAAAACAAGCACTTAAACATATATAAATTAAATACTAGTATAGAGAATAAGAGAAGTTGCATTTAATCCCAACACAAAAGAGTCTAGTTACTCATGATAACAAATTTGAATACAAACATTTAGAGTTGTTTTCCCTCTCCCATATCTCTCCTAATTTTCTATTACAAAAGTCTCTAAATAGTGTATAGGGAAAAGCTAAAATTAGCATAATAAAAATAGAACATGACTATGTCTTTATAAGAAAAGACAACACAACTCTAGCTCCAACTATGATGATCAACTTCTAAGGTTTTATCTCTCTTAGGGTTTTCTTCTAACTTTGTCTCTCGGATTTGTCTCTCAAAACTTCATAAATGCATGTTTATTAGCATCTTTTTCTTCCTCCCCTCCTCGTTTCAAAAACAATTTTCCTAGAAGTTGTTCATCTTTTAAGTATTCCTTTTCTTCTTCTCTCATTTTCATGTATTTCTCACCTTTCTCTTTCAGAATCCCTTTTTGTATTACTTACCTTCTTCTTTCATTCCTTAAAGTTTGTGTTTTTATTTGCCACCTTCTTCTTTGACGGATTAAAGTTTGAGTTTTTTTGTCCTTTTTCTTTCACCAGTTAAAGGTTGGATTTTTTTTTCTTTATGCTACCTTCATTATGTCGGTTTAAATTTGAAGATAAATTTAAGGAAATGAATTTAAGAGGGAAAAAAAGTGAAAGTAGGATTGTTTGGATTAAGAAAATTATAATAAGAAATAAAGAAATTTGAAATGAGAGTTTATGAAAATTAGTAAATGATGTTATAGATTAAAAAATAATCTAATTAATAAAAATGAAATTTATTATTATTATTTATATTTATTATTATTATTGATATTAAAAACTAACTTTATTTAAAAATAAAATTATTACACTTTCTTTTATCTCGAAGAGAAAGTTAAAAGTAAAATTAAAGTTTTTGATTTTGGTGTTTTTGTTTTCTTTTTCTTTTGATTAGTTTCTGCCTAAATAGAGAGAATCAGCGCATTTCCAGCAGCTAAAAAAAACTAAATAAAAGTAACCTTTATTATATTGTCAACGTGTTATGGCATTTTTTTAAAATTTAAACAAACTGATTTTATATAAAAATATCAGAAAATATTTTTTATAAAACTTTTAATTTATTCTATTTATTTTTATTAAAGGTTTTAAATATATGTCCTTCGAAACCTTCTTTTTGCAAAAGAATTAAGAAATAATTTTTTTTCCATAAAATATTATTTCTTGCACCTTTTAACTATCTCATTGTCGGAGCAGTATTTTTTCATTTGTAAAAAGGTGATGCCTACAAATGCTAAAAACAATATTCTGTTGACATGGCTAATGAAAGTAAAATTAATATATCAGTAATATTATTTAAAAAGCAAATAATAAATATATTAATATTGTTAAGTGAAGCAAGAAAACAGAGAACCAACACAAAAAAGGGCAATACCCTAAAATTGGCAGGTTTATCTGATGAAAAGATGAATAGTTGGAAGAAAAACATTGGGAATTTATTACGAATCCGACTTCTGAAATTGTTCTATTTCTTTGCAGAAGCTTTGAAGAAAGCAAACAACTGATCTCTGGGAGGCAGGCCCTCGTTGATGACAGGGTGATTCACAAACTCTTGGCTCCATTTATATAACTTGGGAAATTTCTCGAGAGTAAGCAATTTCAACCCTGCAATCTCCTGCAATATTTCAACCCAATATCCAATGAAATTGGCAGCAATATCTACCAATCCTATGCTCTCTCCACCAAAGAACCTCTTCTCCCTCAGTGCTTCCTGCAGGATCTCCAAAGCTTCCATGGCTTCCGCCGTTGCCTTCTCTCGCCCCTTCTCATCACTCCAGCACGCATTCCATATTGCAGGCAAAATCTAAAAAAATAAAATTGAATGATGAGTTTTGAAATTGAAGATAGTGTTAGAAATATAAGGTAAATGATACCTTGTCATCTAAGGTCTTAGCCCAGAAACGTGCCAAGGCTCTCTCGTAAGGGTGTTGAGGCAAAAGGGGGTTATTATTCCAAGTCTCATCGATGTATTCAACAATAAGAAGCGACTCAGCTAGAGGGTTTCCGTTGTGGACGAGAACAGGAACCTTCTTGTGAACAGGGTTGTATTTGAGTAGGTCATGGCTCTTGTTGGCGAGATCTTCCTCGGAGTATTCGTAGGTTACTCCCTTCAGCTTCAGAGCGAGCTCAACCCTGTTGCTAAATGGGCTCGCCCACTTCCCCAATACCTTCACTTCCGAGCTCCCTGAACCCATTGCTAATGCACAAAATTTAACTCTGCAACAAAGTACGGTTTTATAGGTAGGGTTTCCACAGAGCACAGAGATTCCTCAAGTTGGAATTTGGTTTCGTTTTGGTCAACTTCGGGGGACTGGGGTTTGGTGGAGCTAGTGGTAGGTGGTTTCCTCCAATCTCATGTATTTCATATTATATTAAGCTTTCGGTATTTTTCCATTCAATTAAGAACCGGATGACAAAACAATCCTTACTCACTAATATTTATGATTAAAATTTCAAATGGAATATTTTTACACCTGCAAAATATACTAATATTTAATTACTCACTTGTTTATGAAATCAATATAATATTTAATTTACATATATACGTTAATTCATTCTATCTATTAATAATTATTAATAAATTTTATTTGAGTTTGTATTTTAAATTCAAGGGATTATAATAAAAATTATATTATTCAATGATATATTAATAATGAAATAGTTATTTAAACTTTTATTTCCTATATATGTTTATTTTTTAATTAGATCTATAAAATTGAAAGTTATCTTGTAAGACATTAATTTTTTTAAATATATTTCTTGACACAATTTATTTAAAATTTTATTTTAGAAAGATCAAATTAATTTTTTCTCATCAAAATTTATTTATTAAGGATTTAGTTATAAATTAATATATTTTAATTTTTAAAAATAATGTATAAATATTTGTAGATAGTTTTAAATATCCACATATAAAAAAAAACCATAAATAATCTTTTTACGGATATCAAAGAAATAAGAAATCAATAGTTTTAGATGAATTGTGTATTATATATTAATTAAATCACTAATAATTTATCGCAATATAAATTGTATTTTAAAGTACACATATTTTAAAATACATTTAGCTAATATATATTTTTTTCGCAACTTATTCATTTGGAACATTACTACTTTTTAAAATAATTTCTTTCATTTATATATATATATATATATATATATATATATATATATTTATATATTAAATTTATATTTTTGTTAAAAGATTAAGGTTTAAACTTTGGGACGATCCTCGTATTTGTTGAGGAATTTCAAATAGGTCCTTTTGTTTAAAATGGTCTTAACTAGATCCTAAACTTTATAAAATTGTAACAATTAAGCGTTTTCCGTTAAGTGGTAAAAAACGGCGTCAAGAGATGCTAACGTGTTGCACATGATGTGGATGTTTTTATTACATGGAGTTAGTATTTAAATTAAGATGGTGTATTAGTTTTTGACATGACGATATGTAATTGGTCAACATAGTTAAAAAATAAATTAAGGATTTTGTTCAGTTGAGATTAGGGATTTGTGAACTAAATAAAGTTTAGAGAAATAGGAATTTCGAAAGAGGGATTTTGTGCAGTTGAGATTAGGGATTTCGAATTTGACACACGAGATGAACATCGTGGAGAGATTTGAACGTGAATCGGAGAGAAGACGAACACGAGAGAAATTGGAAATTTCAAGGGTTGCCCAACAACATTGAATAATGTTGCACGAAGAATCATCACTAAACCAGAAATCACAAACGCGAGAGAACCCTAAACCATGCTAGCCTTCAAAATCAAAAAATTTTCTACCGTTAGCGCCGTTCAAGTTCCTCATCGCGGCATCTTCATCTTCGTCCAACCTTGCGCCACCACGAAGACTATCGTGAAGCCTCCTCGCGTGTTCATCTTCCACCTCCAGCATATTGAACTCATCTTCATCATGCCATCAACTACGACAAAACCCCAGAACGCCAATCTCGCGACCTCCATGCGGGAACAACGCGAAATCCCATGCACTACGAGCTTCTCCCTCGTCCTCCACCATTTTCACGACCTAATCGGACCTACAATAAAACCCATGGACCTGAAACTACAATCTCCATCGTGCTTGAAAACCCTAACTCTCTTAATCTTCCATGGGAACTTAAGCCAATATAGAGAACACGGATTGTGAGTCTTCATCCTCGCGCAACCATTATGAATCCATCAACCTGCAAACAAATCATCAAACCCAATCGCAACCATTGAAAAAAAAAAACAATTGAAATGCGAAATTGTGTCTTCCTTAATTGTCTCCCAAAATAGGGAGATTCTGGAAATTTCAAGGGTTTCTCAACAACATTGAAGAGATCTAAAAAACCTAAGAAAGAGGTTTCGTATGAGATCTAGAATTACCAAAGCTATTTGTTCCTCTTTACTTTCATTTTTTCTTTTTTTTTCTTTTCTTTTACTTTACTAAATTCCACGTCATAATTTAAATTCTATTTCCTCGTAATAAGGTAGAAGTCTTATGCTGATCAGAGGCGAAAACCTTTGGAGTTTGCAGTTGGGGATCATGTTTTCCTTAGAGTGACTGCTACTACTGGTGTAGGAAGAGCTATTCGCTCTAGGAAGTTATCTCATAGGTTCATTGGTCCTTATCAAATCTTGAGGCGTGTAGGGTCAATTGCTTATGAGATAGTCATGCAACCCCAACTGGTGAATCTTCATTCAGTATTCCATGTCTCGCTCTAAAATATCGTCTATCTCTCTAAAACACTATTTTCTTAACCTCTCTACCATCTCTCTAACCTTTCTCACTCTTGGATTATCTGTTCGATGATTAGGAGATGTGTAAGTGATCCTTGCGTCGAGGGCTACCTATCTGACCGATCAGTTGGTTGATTTGAGCAAGTAAGTGTTAAACCTTTTTTCCTCGGTATTTAGGGTTCTTGACCATGTATACTAGTGTTGTTTTGCATGAATCAAGAATCCCTCTTCCTTAATTCTTAGCTCAATTTAAGTTCTAAGGTTGTCTCCAATCGCTAATTGGTGATTTGTAGGAAATTCTAAAGGTTCCTTGTAGTGGAAGAAATTGTCGGGGTTTCCTAGAGTTATGCAGATTTTATAGAGGTAATGGAAGTTAGAATTTTGTTCTAATTAGTGATTATGTTGAGAGAAACGTTATATTTATGTGTTGTGATGGAATATTTGGAAATGTATGTACTTGGTTATATGAAAATGTGAAGAATTTAATGATGTTTTGTTTTGATGATGAAACTGGATGAATTGGATAGGTATAATTGGATTGATTATGTGTTTTGAAGTATTTTGAATGTTAAATCTAGTTAGATAGCTAGAATTCTATTATGGAATTGGTAAGAGGGGTTGGTGTTGATTTTAAGTGAAAGTTTTAGTGTTTTTGGGTGAATGAGAGTTGTTACATAGTCAAATTTTGAGTTTGTGGTTATGTGCATAAAGGGTCAGATTCTAAGGTTTGGGTAAGTCATTTATGACTTATTGAAGTCATTAAATTGTTCAAAAGTGAGTTATAAGTGGTAGAAGTCAATTTGGGTTTCTAAGTTGAGATTTTGTAAGCTTTTGGTTGAAATCTTGGAGTCACTTGTTTAGAATGAGTTTAGAATGCTTTAGACACATTTGATTAAGTATAATTAAGTATAAAACACCATCTAGGAGGATTAGAAGTTGTAGAAAATATTTGCAATTGGTCAATTTGGTGCAGGTTGCATAATTCTACAGTTTGGTGATGTAGAATTATGCAGACTCGCTGAGCGAGTAGAGTCACTTAGCGAGTGGCTACAAGGTCTGGCACACTGTCTCTGCTCTCGCCTAGCGAGATGTGTCACTGAGCGAGAGGTTGGGGTCTAAGAGCATTGTGATTTTTATTCGCACAACGAGATGTGTCGCTGAGTGAGAGGTTGAGGTCTAGGAGCACTGTGACTTATATTTGCACAGTGAGTTGGGTCGCTGAGCGAGAGGTTTGGAGTTTGGGAACACTATTTGTGGATTCGTAGAGCGAGCTAGGTCACTCAACGAGCAGACTCTTAGGTCGCTTAGCGAGTCTGGTCGCTCAGCAAATAGTCTTGTACCTCTTCTTCTAATGTTTATATTTGAGTTAATGTTAATTTTGAGTTATTTGATGATTTGTTTAAATGGTGTGAAATTATTTATGGTATTATAGGA